CCCCACCCCAGACTTTCATCCCTGGATCAGAGACGAGGGAATGACATTTGTGTTTGCAGAGTCCCACAACCTACAGTGTCTCCCCCCATCCCTTCTAGTGAGATTGCTGCTCTCACTTTGTGACCCACAGTCCTTTTACTGCCTCTCTCCCTGCATCCCTCATCTGTAGGCCCTTTCTTGGCATGGTGGGGGACGTCCAGGAGGATGGGTTAGAGAGGGTGGGGGTAAGACCGGCTGCTTATATGTAATCAAAAAAGAGGCAGCCGCTTCCGGGACTCAGGAGAGACCTGGGTTTCGATCCCCACTCAGCTGTGGACACTCGCTGAGGGTGTGGGAGGTGGAACTGGTCAGAGGACTCCTTCAGCATCTCGCTTACCTGGAAAGCCCCGTGAGGGTCACTATACATTGGTTCCAACTCGACAACACGGGACACACCATCGGAACTGCCACGCATCCTCACCTGAGTGGATAAGGCCAGGGACAGGTGGCCTGTGTCCTTGCCGGGTTGCTCTCCAGGGGCTGCCCGCTGTGGACGATGGCTCTTTCCGGTTCTCGGTCCTTCAGTTCGGTTTCGTGGGTCAGACAGGCCTTCCAGCAGAGGACAGAATTCAAAAACAGGGTTTTTTCCCCTGGGAGCCCTTAAAACAGAGGAGTGTGTGTGTATTACAACTGGCTCCCTCCTGGGTTACCATTTTGCCAGCCCCCTTCTGCGAATCTTCACCGCACATTCCATCTGTTGCATCGGGACTGGCTCCCGTCTCGGATTTGAATTGTGATGACAGTTGCTTTATTCTGAATAAGTTCATAAAGATATTTTTTTTTAAAAAAAAAGTCTGTAAAAGCAATTTAAAGTGCCGCGAATTGACGGGAAGTACAACATTTAGACATGAAGTGTTTAATTTCAGCTTCTGACTCAAACCAAGGTGACACATTCAGTCAAAGCAAAAGGCAGCATCATTTATGCTTCAAAACCTGACTGCAGAATTGAGGGGGGGGGCTGAGAGAGAGAGAGACAGAAAGAAAGGGATCTTGCTTTGTTAAGGAATCTCATCAGGAGAAGAAAATTCCCTACTTCTTTGTGATCTCCACATATGCACAGAAATGAGATTCTAATGGTTGTCGTGGGTTTTTCGGGCAATTTGGCTGTGTTCTGAAGGTTGTTCTTCCTAACATTTCACCAGTCTCTGTGGCCATGGGCATCTTCAGAGGACATCTTCTCTTCTCATCTCACGAGAAAAGAAGACTCCCTGGAAAAGACCCTGATGTTAGGAAAGTGTGAAGGCAAGAAGAGAAGGGGACGACAGAGGATGAGATGGTTGGACAGGGTCATCGAATCAACCAACATGAATTTGACCCAACTCCGGGAGGCAGTGGAAGATGGGAGGGCCTGGTGTGCTCTGGTCCATGGGGTCACGAAGAGTCGGACCCGACTTAACGACTAAACAACAACAACCAGTTCTTCCTGATCTCCTATTTATTGATTTGAAATGCAGCTACAGTATAGTTTCAGAATCTGCAGCCATTATGAAGTGTATCGAATACGTACAGATTACATTTACTGCTGCCTCCTAGGCCCCCCATCGTTATTTTCCAACTTAGAAATTAGAAAGCTTGTGCTGTTCCTCGAACCATCTGATCCAATTCTCCCTTCTTTTCCTATTGTCTCTGAAAGGGCTTTGGGCTGGCCTTCCCAGTCTGGCATCCCCTAGAACTATCGGACGGATGCCGGCGGTGAGATTATTAGAGTTGTAGGTACTCTCACGTATGTGGCGGGCAGCCAGTTGGAGAAGACCAGCCTGCATCATCCAGTACAATGTGGTATATTTCTGTTTTAACTGGAGTTTGGCAGTGATGCATTAACTGAACACATTAATGTAAAAAAAAAAAAACAGTAATCATTTCTGTGTTTAGATTCAGTGGATGCATCTAAAGAATAACCTTTCAGAAGTAATGTTTTTAATGTTTTATTGCTGCTTGTTAAAACAGTATCTGTTTGAAACAAACAACATTCCTTCTCTTTAATGTGGGTGTACCGATTTTAGTGTTAATGTGTTAAAGCTAATGCATTATTTCCAAGTTCTCTAATTAAGCACGAGAACAGCACTTTTGTCATATAGGAGTGTGGCGCAGGTGGGTCCGACCGCCGCTCCAGAGGGAAGAATTCAGCAATATTAACCCTTAGTAGCCCAGGGATTTTTTTGGGGGGGAGTTGTACGGTTTGAACGCAGGTTCCCGTAGCCTCGCCTGTCCTGCAGCTTGGATCCTTCCCCAGAGGTCCATCTCTAGGGCAGCTAGGAATTGGGAACCCGAGTGCAAGACGTTTCCGGTGATGCTGGATCCCTTGGGATCTCTTTCTCCTGCCCACCCGATTTGACCAGCCCTTTCCTTTTACCAATTTTCTCCAGGGTCATTTCTGATGGGTTGGCGCGGCCGACCGATCTCCAGCTCTGTGCCGTTTCTGCTCAGATATTTCTGAGACTGTGTTCAGAGGCAGCTAAGGGCGTACCAGGGCTTGGGTTAACAGGATAATGAGCTGTGCCTCCATTTCCTGCTTGTGGGTTTTCCAGCAGCATCGTCCCTGACAGTGGCCTCAAGAGAAAACTGAGAGGAGGCAGCTGGAACCGGGTCTCTATGGGAGGTGCTGCTGGAAACTGAAAGTCTGAGATGGAGACAAAGCTTGGTTAAGGTCCTTTTGTTAAAGGGCAGCTTCCAAGATCCAATAAGAAGGATCTTGGCTGTGACCGAGGGATGCCTTGATACGTACCCGTGAAACAGAGCAGCTTCGAACTTCCGGGGGGGGTGTGATTAACCCACTGTGGCTCTTCCACACGCCCTTGGAACGCGGTGGGGTTAGATGTTCCTATTCCTTCTGCACCATTCGGGTGCGTCCCACCACGGCCTCTCCCGAGGTGTACAGCTGTCCGAGTGACCCTGAACGGTGTGCCGCCTTCGGACGTGAGATGTGGGGGTGGGGGCATGTGTTTCTTTCTCCATCCCTGCCTGCTCTCCTCGTCAGCTGAGCCCCCCCCCACTGACCGCTCCCTCTTGGGTGTGCTTGTTTCCGCAGATGGCTTCCCCTGTTCCGGCCGGGTGCTGCGTGCTGCTTGCCGCGGTGGTGGTGGTGGTTTACGCCCAGAGGCCCAGCCAGCAAGGTAAGACGATGGCACCTCTTCTGTTCTTTGTCTCTCTCTCTTTCTTTCTCCATCCACCTTAAGAGGGAAATCTCGCTCTAGCCCTTGCCAGAGCTGCCTGTTCTCTGCCCAGGAAAGAGGTGTCCGTTCGTCAGATGTGTTCACGTGAGGCATTGACGGAGATTGAGGTGACCGATCCCAACCTCAGGAGGCATTCAAGCAGCCGCAGGATGTCCGGGGAGCCACCTGTTTGTTGTGCCAGGCATGGAGTGGGCAGGAGCTCCTTTTCCAAATGCATTTGGTGGGGGCACAGGAGAGGGCCCTTCTTCCCTGTGGCTGCTCCTTTAGACTCTGGAACTCCCCCCCACTGGAGGCCAGGCTGGCCCCCATCTCTGCTATCCTTCCGCAAGCAGGCAAAGAGAGCTTTCTCTTCAGCCAGGCTGTGACTTCTCAGGGACTGGTTGCCTGATTTTTTTAAAAAAAATATTGTTACGCATTGCTGTTTTGACTGTTTTTTTTAAATATTGCTCATGTTTTCCATTTCTCAGAGTGGTGTTTGTTTGTCCCTTTTTCATATTTCTACCCTGTTTCCCCTAAAATAAGACCTAACCTGAAAATAAGCCCTAGGATGATTTTTCAGGATGCTCGTCATATAAGCCCTAATGCGTTTTTTGGAGCAAACATTAATATAAGACCCTGTCTTATTTTCGGGGAAACAGGATAGGTTTAGTGTTTTTAGCTTTAAACATTGTCATGTCACGAGGCATGGCACTTTTGTATATGCATTGTTTTTAGCTTTAAATGTTGTCTTTCTGTGACATTAAGCTGCTTTGGGCCCTTTTTAAGGAGAAAGTCGGGAAATAAATAAATAAACAAACAAATAAATTCACACACAAACCCAAATACAATATATAACCATTGACTCCAACATGGTCATATATAGCTCCAGGAATGATGAATTTGGGGGCAAGACATATTGGGGGGGGCTCCCTGCATTTTGCCCCCCCCAGATGTGGACATCTGGCTGGCCACGTCTGGTTTAGGTTTCTCCTTCCTTCCCTTCCCCCTTTTTTGTAATGGTATGATTCCTGAAAGGGTGGGGAACCCCTCTCCCTCCACCCTTCAACGTGGCCTCGCCATGTCTTCTTCTGTGGATCAAGCCACGCTGGGCAGCTTTGCTCGGATCCTGTAAATATGGTTTCTATGAATCTGAAGAGGTTGATGGTGCTGCTCGTCGTGGCTCAGAGGACTGTGTCTTCTTTTTTCGTGGTAGCAGAAGTATTCAGATGCTTTGCAGTTAAGGGGCTAAATCCAGTCTTAGACCACCGACATAAACGGGAGTGAAGCGAGTCTTGACTATTACGTTTCATTCAGTTCAATGGGTGTGCTCCACATGGTAGGACTAATGGGAGATCTAGTCCGACGCCACTGTGTGTAGTAGACAGACTGGTGTATACTATACACAGTAGTAGACTGGTGTGTACTACACACAGTAGTAGCCACACCTGCCATCCGTCCATGAAGGCTTCCCCATTTCTGCTTCATTTTGTGCCTCTTCTCTCTGCCTGGCAGGTCTCTCATGCCGTTCCCCCCCCCCCCGCTTGCCACCTTTTATCTGCTTGGTTGTTGTTGAGGGCTGGGGGGCTGTTCTGGGGATCCTGGTCTCCTCTTTCCATTCCAAGGACATGCAAAGAAAGAAATCAAGAGGGCAACACTCTACAGAAACAAGGCTGAGAATAGCAAACCTGCTCCGGTGCATTGGAGTCAATAAGTAGTCCCTAGTTGTGGGTAGGGTTGAAACAAAACAAAACAGAAGGAATAGCTATAGGCCATCATCACACTGCTAAATAACTCACACCTTTTGAATAATTCTTATAATAAGGTTTTGGCTGCAGGCATTAACAACCGGCTGGAACTAACCTGGCATACTTTATTATTATTATTATTTGAAAATGACTTGTTAGTTGCGAGATGAAAATGTGTTGCTTTGTTTTTCTAACACACACAAAGAGAAAGAGAGCTGTTTCTTATTTGCTTGTTTGATTGTTTTACCTAATGCATGCATTACTCTGAGTGGTTTACAATGGGTGTTTTTAAGAGCAAAGGTAAGACCTAGCTCTTTAGGCAAGCCTTCGCCCCCGCCATTACTTAATTTATTCTTGCCGTCTTGAATTATATTAATGCTGCTGTTTTATTTTATTTTGTTTTTTTTTTCATGAATTGCTATTAGCCGCTCAGAGTAGACTTTGACCTTGATGGGTGGGATATAAATTAAATAAATACATAAAAATACAAGTTAAAACTCACAAATCCTAAGGACCTTACATATGGCAATAAAGAAAAAGAAAAAGAAAAAAAAAGAAAAGAAAAGAAAAATAAAATAAAATAAAATATTAACAGCATCTGGAAGACTCAACTATTAAAGGCAGCTTTGAATAGCTTCTAACCATTTTCTGAACATCAGGAGAGAAGCAGCCCTGCCGGATCTCCGCTTTTAAGCTCTCCTAGGGCCTGGGGGTCTGGGGGCCTCCATCAAGGAGAGCCAAGTCCCTTCTCTTGGCCTTTCCGGCTCCTCTCGGCGTGGCCAACTTTAGCACCAAGGATTGAGAAGAGGGAGCGAAATGGGTTGCTGATTCCTCATGGAAGCTGAAGGCAGCTAACTATGGAATTGGACACGTTTGACGATTGGAACCTTCTTTGCCATTTAAAACACAACCCACTGAACCACAAAGAACAATAATAAAAGCAGATGATAAAGTCACAGCAGCAGTCAGAGTATTTGAACTATAAGAGAGAGAACAAGAGCAATTAAAACGGCATGTTAAAAATTACCCAGTAGAGCAATTAGATGCGCATTATAAAGGATGGAAAGTGATTCCCCGCTACCCCATAATACTGGAGCCCAGAGGGGTGGGTCCTCCAGTTAAGTTGAACGGAAACAGATGCTCCGTTCCACAGCGGAAAGTGGCGAGCTGACCTTAGTTGGGAGCTTTTCCAGTAGAGTTGGGGATGATGGCCGCCTGTCAGAGAAGTGTTGCCTGTGGATCTCAGACATGGATTTTGACAGCCCTTGGGGTCTTTTCCGCACCTCCCATTTCCAGTTGGAGACTGGAAACAGACTTTTTTCATGCAGCCTCTAAATAATCTATGGAACCTGCTCCTCAAAGGCCCCTGTTGTACGTAGGATGTTAGCTTTAAAAATTAATTAATTTCATCAGTCGTGTGTGCATCCCCAAAATTAGTGTTATTGCTAACATGTCCAGTGAAAATCTCTGGTAGGGTCTGCTATGTGTTTGCCATCGCCCTTTCACAATTATGCTAATTGCTTCTTTCTAAAGAAGCCAAAAACCTTCTGCGGCTCTGAAGTCAAGTATTGTCCCTCAACTAGTTTAACAGTGATGTATATTAACTTCTTATCTTTGGCCATTGACAAATAACCAGTAAAAAAACCCTGCTATTTGTTACACCAAAACATGTGGGCCTTCTTAAGGTAAAAGCAAAGTGGGGCTCCCATTTCTTCTTGTTATTGCAACAAAACACAACAATGGAAGTAACTTGATCATCCTTAGGATTCCCTTCCGGCTCTACAGTTCTGAGGATGAGGATGATGACTCACCATGCTTAAGGTTTTATTGCCAAGCTGTTGCTTCTGGTGCAAGATGTCACTGCGGCCTTCGACCTGGATGGCCTGAGAAGGAGAGCGGACCTGGCCGTTAAGGCTCTTGGTGGCCATCCCTGTCCGGAGAGGTGGGACCTTCCAGTCCCAGAGACAGGATGTCTTTCTCCGTCGGACTGGCTGGAGGAAGGGACTGGGAACAGCCCTCTAGCACTCACGGGCAGCTTGCTGGATGAAATAGACCCATGCTGGCCGGTTGCTCCTAAGTCATAACTGGGAAATGGAGGAGCATCTGGTTTGAGGGAAACCAGAAGGGCTAAACATTTCCTTGCACATATGGGGCTTACTGCCAGAAGATGGCCTCGCAGATATCATAACAATGTCTGAAAATGACCGTTGGGCCCACGTGGGCTTCCTGCAGACCTCTGCTCACCCATCTGTACTGCAAGAGTAGTGGGCTTGGTAGACTTTTGGGTTCAAGGGTCTTCAGGAGGGATGAAAAGCTGAGCACCCCTGGCCAACATGGTGTCTCTGTATTCAGGAAGGACACTCTGCTAAGGTCATGAAGAGCAAGGGAGGGACTTTTCCGGCAGTTTAGCTTGTTCACAAATCCCCCAGAGGTGTCTCATGGAGGTGTTCTGGGTAGGCAGAAGCGCCCATCTTTCCCACCCACCAGGACCTGGAAAGGTCTGGACTGTTTGGGCGCATGTTGGGCTGCAGATCCAGGAGTGCTCCCGGGCGACACAGCCACTGATGGTGCAAAATGAGGGATTCTGGTCCCTGTGGTCAGTCCACACTAAAAGCTACAGCTTTTGCAGGTTTCTGGTATTCTCGGGCAGTGCCAAATATCTTCTCAAGAGCCTGGGAGATATTTTTGCCCTTCTCACGGAAAATGTAAGACCAGAGCCGAAGCCACTTCGTTGGGTTCTAACACCTTGGGCTTCCTCCGTGCAGGGCCTGGCGTTCCCGCCTGCTTGTGGAGATGGGCTCCGAGGCTCCGGCAGGCTGTGAAGTTGTCTCCAGCTTTATTGCTTATCTGCCTTTTTTTTTCTTTCCAGGTTCCCTTCCCCATAATTGAGTTCTCCCCAGGCCTTGCACGCCTCCTGCCTCGCCTCCTCTATTTTTAAAAGAGTAATCTTCCTTTATTGATCAACACCTTGGCTGAATTAACTCACGTTTAAATAATAATTATATTTTCTCCCCAGAGAGTAGACATGGAGGGAGATAAACACCCTTGAAAATGAATGAGCTTGTTCAGGCTGCATGCCGAGGTTAATCTATTGACGGGTGTCTGGGCCCCCTCTGTGTCCCGTAGCTTAGTAACCAGCAATAAGCAATTAAGCTCAATCATTACTTAGATGTGTGTGTGTGTGTGGGGGGGAGACTTGACTTTCCTCAACCTAAC